GTGAATTGTGCACGCGAGGAGAACATTGTGAGCCTCCGTATAAGGGAGTAAGGGATAGTGTCATTTAGCGTTCGTTTACTCAACAGTTTATCAAGTGGAACTACCCTCTGCTACCACTTGATAAAATCCCTAGTATACAAATTTAAAATAGCACACACATAGTTAGCTATCCCTTTCTGTAGGATCCATGTAATATACACTATTACTAGTATATGCTGCATAAGTGATCTGAAATAATGTGAAAAGAAAGATGAGCTCAATGCTGCATCTGCACATCTTGCTTCATTATTTAAAATTACTCACATGTGTGAGCATGTGTTGTTAACAAAGATAACAATTAAAAAATTAAAGTACAGAGTTATTGAAATGTGACATAAATAATGTATAAATTGGTGCAATATAAGAATAAATAAGAAAATAAAGAAATGTGTCAAGCGTGGCTCAAAAACGTTACAGATATGTGATTGCTGTTACACTCTGATCCCGCAGACCGTCACTTGCTGGCACACAGAGGCGCGTCATATTGTACACCTACCTGAGCTCCACGAGATGCTTCTCTCATGTGTCTGACCTAGATGAAGCCTCGCTTTACTGCAGGCTCCAACATCAGGAAAATGTGCCGACGTGGAGGGAAACGTGTAGTGTGCCCGGCTGTGAGGGAGGAGGCGGGGAAGTTGCGTCACTAGTTCTGCCTCCTCCTGCACTGTCACCCCTGCATTGAAAAACCACGATGACAATAACACAAGTGAACAAGATATTGATAAACTAATCTTTGCAATTTGTGCACGATGTGCCACATTATAATTTAAAAAAAAGCAATGGACACTGACGGCGAAGAACTTTCTCCCAGACAGAAAGTGTTTACTGTATACTATATACACTGGCATTACAATTTAGAGATGTGGTGCCGGTGGTTATGCACATGAGAAGGGCTTCGGATTCATTCATTCTTACTGATAGCATGATCACTTCCATGTTCAAACGCAAGAATATGCAAAACACGATATAATAACCAGCTAGTTTGTGAACATGTGCCTCCACCAGGTTATCAGTGAGAACAATTATGTACTTCTAACAAAGGTTTTACTTTATCAGTTGAAAACGAAAAAAACAACACAAATTGCCTAAATTCGGCCAATTGTGATGTAAACACTTAATTGTACCAATAATTATTTTGTGGATCTTCAAAAATACGTTTTTATGAGGCGTTACACTGCATCAACTGTTGTGAACATGGCCTAAAATGCTTAAAATGTGCACCTGCTTAAAATGTGTTATCTTGCTTTGTAAAAATCATACTCCATACTATCTATTTAATCTATACAATCTCTGTTATTAATAGTCCGCTGGTAACCTTCAGATAGTAACTTGCCGTTTGTCGGCTCTAGTGTCATGAGTGGGACACAATTTTAAGGTGGAAAGCACAGTGAGTGGCACGTCTTATTGTATACGGTCTTCGCTGGTGCGTACCTTCCGTCGGCTGACTGACGCCCTGGCCATAGTAGAGAACCACCGCGCAGTTGTTGTGTAGGAGCAGCTGCGGCGCAGGTTCCCGCTCTACGATGACATACAGCACGCCCCTGTGGTGCTGCGCGGTAAGAGAGTAGCACTCGGTACATGATAGCTTCGCCACCCCAGCCACTCCCGCTGCGACTCCGGGCAAACGCGCAGCCACCGTGGCCACGCCTGCTGTTGTATTAGCAGCAGCTGCCGTCGCCACCTCGGCCACTGCTGCCCTTGCCGTGCCCGCCGTTACGCCTGCATTGCACTCTGCCGTCTCGACCGTGTCTGCCACCTCCGGAGAATGCGCAGAGCGTCCATCTATGGAAGGCACGGCGATGACGTGACGGCCGTCCATGTCGCGTTTCAACCTCACCAGATGGCTCCACGCGTACTGTTCAGCCATCGGCCGTGATGCGTGGCCCGCATGGCTGAAGGTCAGGTAGGACACGTATTCTGCGACGGTTTGCGGCGGTGGCGGGATGTCCCACATGCAGAGATGGTGTGTGGAGGCGGTCTCGTGTGAGCCGTCATTGGGTGGAAGGCACACGGTTCGACTGCAGCAGTCCAGAACGTTCACCTGCAGAAATCAGAGCGTGTTACACACCCGATGTACCATCAGGGTACTCTGAGCAGGGCATGGGCTTTAATTTTAATAATATTAAATTTTAACAAAAAATTTACACATGATGCGACAGGCCTGATATTGGGTGTTAGTGCACATACACATGCAAAAGAGATATAAACCTTCTCATAGCTAGCTTATATACAGAGACTGAGTGCATACCATTAATCTCCTTATGGCATACCTTGGTTTGTGTGTGCGGCACAGAGAACGCCTTCACATGTAGCAGTGAATCGGTGTTGTTAACAATAGCAACACTAGACGTGAGCGTGACAACTCTAATGCCATGCTTTATAACGGATTGCAGAGTCAGGTAACATATCTGAAAACACATTTTCTCAGTAAGTTTCAATGTACGATAACCCCAGGAGCATTATTATTAAAGCCTTTGCACAGCCATTATGTTTACATCAAATTTGATTCACCTGGTTTAATGTTGACTGTACAGCTGTAATCTGACAGCACTAGCAATTGAATAAATAAATATAAATAAATAATAATGAAAGTGTCAATGACACTATAGCTCACATTGGGTGTGATAGACGAGGGAGATGATATTTAAAATTTGGTAAGTCACTAAGTGTTTCATTTATGACAGACCAAAATGTGATCAAATGTCCTTATTCCCCGTTTTATACTAATAGAAATTTCACTATTTTGTTTCAGGGTTAGTTTTGATGCAAAAATAAATGTTTCAGATCTGAATGTCTGAAATCTGGGCGAGAGATGGCGCTACGCCTAAATGATCGCCATTTTGGTTTTCGATTATCGCGCAAATAAAAGCAATAAAATATTCCAGTCAAATTACTGTAACGAAGAATCTAAAACACAATATTACACGTAGGTATGAGTAGGTAGGTAGGTAAATTTAACAAAATCGAATGAATCTAAATGGCCATTTTCATTTTTGTCAAAAAGTGAGCGTGGCTCTAAAGTAGGTCGACTGGCGTGCTCCAAAATAGGACGTTCAAATCCCTCCCATAGGAGTAACAACTGTATGCAATTTGAAACATGTGGGTTAAACGGTTCTTGAGTTATCGTTGACCGTATAAGCAGACACTGAAATGCATAGTGAAATTGACAAAATCTACCTAATTTGCATAATTTAAAAAAAATATAAAAACCTGTGTGATATGTTTTGGAGCCAGTCCTTATTCATTCACATACCAAAAATGAGCAATATCCGTTGAACCTGAACTGACTTATGGCCATTTCCATTTTTGCCAAAAAATGGACGTGGCTCAAAAGTAGGTCAACTGGCGTGCTCCAAAATAGGACGTTCACATCTCTCCCATAGGAGTAACAACTGTATGCAATTTGAAACATGTGGCTCAAATGGTTCTCAAGTTATCGTTGACCGTAGCCAAATGTTGACAGACAGACGGACAGACGGACAGACGGACAGACGTACGACAGACGACACCCCATGGCAATAGCTCATCTTGACGATGTCAAGGTAAGCTAATAAAAAATTAATTTAAGGTAACTGTTTATTTATACTGAATGACACCATCGTAGACTTCTTACAAAGCAGTTGTTACAAAGACTTGTTACAAAGCACGAACACTATGGGAGATCCTATATCTATATGTTTATGTCTATGTTTATATTTGAGTCATATATTGATGTCATTGCTGTGCTTGATGGACAGATATCAACTTACCCACAATTTAAGTTAGACTACAACAAAAGAATGAAATTTTGTTGAAGAAGTTTGAGCTAGGTTAGGAGTTTAGGACTGTGGACTAAATTACCCTTTCAATGTCAAAAGTGGCTTGTTATGATCTCCAAACGTCTCTTGAAATACCACAGTGTACCTGTTTAGTGTTGTCCTGTTCTAGCAGGATTGTTGTGTGCGTGTAACCATGTCGACACAGAATTCCCTTGATTGCAGGGTAGTATCGCATAGACTGATCTTCTTCATCAGACAGCTGAATAGGCTCAGAGTACGAGCATATCTCTCCAGAAAGCGATAAACCGAGCTTGAATGTGCCCTGCAACATGTATACACACGTATATTCACATGATGCCTATGATAGAGATGTACAGACCATGCATGCAGCACTCACCAGAATGACAAATAGCGCAAAAGGTCGAAAATCTTTCAGATTCTAGAATACCGTTTTTTTACCTAGCTAGGGATGAAAATTAATGTTACATTAAAATTACCCTGATGACTCAGAGTTAAAACACATATAATTGCCTAAGGAACTGCCATATGGTCCTTAATTGTAGGGTTATACTGCACAAAGCTACACAAGACCTAACGTCATGTGGATTTACCTCAATTACAGATGGTGCCATAGACTGCCCACTGGCTACTGTCCATTCAGTTGTATTCCCACTCGAAACGACAAGAGTCCAGTCGGTGTCATTGACCAGTAGGCACCATGGTTTCACGTCCACAAGAAGGGTGTTACATGCTGGCCACAGCTGCGCCATGTCCACCTGTAGCTCAACGTCCGGCTGGTCTGTGATCTCACAGTGCCCCGCTGACTTCAGATGTGGTCTGCACTTATTGAACTCTGCAAACATCTTCAGATCTCTAGGTAAACGTACAAATATAACAATGATAATTTTATTATTATTAATAAAAAGAAGAATTTGTTAAGAAGATATCCTCATTGCCACTATGTAGTTCATTATTACTATGTTAGTTATTATTATAACATTAACGACAAACTCGCCTGTCAGATAAACTGACACTTTTAAAGAGATTATACCTACATACTTAAAATGAACACGATTAACACACATTCACATCACACCTTTCCATGTCCTCAGAATTGTATGGCCAGAGTAGCTCATGGTCTGATTGCCAGCCATGGCAGAGCTGGTCAATATCCACCTGACTGACTGGCTGTTTTGGCAGTTGCTCCACCATGCCCACTGAGAGAGGCAATGAGGGGCTGGACGGCTTCAGGTTTTTCCTATAACCACACACACAGAAAAACACAGAATAAACTTGTGGTAGTGGGTTTTCACAGGGCATACTAGAAATTGAAATCAATGCTAGTTGAGTCAATAATAAAAATAAATTAATATCAAAATCAGTGTTGATACTTGCTAGATACTGGCTGGCTCATAGGTGACTGTGAGGATAGTAGGAACTGGAGCTATAGAGACTGACCTTAAAGCAAAGGAGCAACCTACCCCAGCTGAAACGTGAGGCTGTGTGCGAGCTCCCCACACGGAGGCCACAGTTGATGCTCCTGGCCTTGACCTTCGACCTGTACATGCTGGGTGGCATGCATCCTCTGAGTGTGCACGTTCATGATGAGGGGTTGGGGTAGGTGGGTGCGCACAACAAATAGTGGAGTGAGCAAAAGCTGCAGAGAGAACAGATGGAGAGTGAATAAGAATCCGTGGTGGCCATGCCTTCCCACAGCTGTCAAGAACAAAGATGACTCTTGACATTGACACATGCTGACATTGTCCCATATCCACAAGACACCGACTTTGTCACCTGCCCGTATTTACATAGCAGTGACATTATCAAGTGTTTACATGCAATAACATACGCGCCACGTAGAGCGCTGATAATGTCCGTTATGAGATGTGTGGATCTGGATATTGTTCATATGGAAATGAAACAACAGAAATGGAATAAATAATTTCAGTTCGTTCATGATCTGCTTCATTATATAATGTAACGGTAATTCGCCAGTCAGCTCTGACTCACCAGTCTCTGTGTAGTGGCTCCGAAACTCTGGCAAAACCGCTGACACCAGATGTGAACAAAGTTCCCCTTCTCCTCTAGTGGAACCTTTAATAACTCTGGCTCTTCTGTCACGTGGTGTAACTCCTGGGACCATGGTGTATCGAAGCCCTCTCTGGGCAAGTGAGAATGCCCCAGACCAGAATGCTGCACCAGGTGCAACTGCTCTTGGGATGTATTGAAGTCCAACAATCTGACTCTCAATGAAACTCGGTCATCCTCCTGCAGTTATTAACAGAACCGCGTAAAAATTCCAAATAAAAATAAACTGGCTGGCATCTAGAACTAAGCAATATCTGCGTATGCATCGAGTGCCTGCTGGCAATGTGAAAAATAGTGTGAAAACAATGGTTCTAGCTAAATTTTAATATATATTTAATATATATTTTACATTTACTGAATGTGTTATGCGCATGCTTGTATGAACTATATATTAAATGTGTGTAATTAATTACCTCATCGGTTCAGTAAGAAATATGATGCTGCAGTCAGAGTAATAGTTATAGCATATTAGTAAGGTGAACTTATGCTGTGTTTGTTGAGAGGATATGGATAGGTGCATATCACGTACCACGAGTGCACAAAGCTTGATTGGATTTTGTAAGCTGGATCTTGGATGTAGAGTATTGCTGCAGCGAATATGTAATTACCTCTACTATACAAGAAGGTACGGTGTCACTGCAGCCTAGCATCAGATAACAGAATGTCATTGGCACGCCCTCATCTCTGCGCACGATCAGCTGCACCTCCACACGATGAGAGAGACGGCTAGAGAGCAGCAGCAACCCACTCACTACAATCTACCAAAACAATAATATTATATTATATCAAGGTGTTTTACGAAATTCTTGAAACACACTCGAAAAGCACCAAATACGAAATTGAGTCAATAACATTTAACCAGTTTTCATTTGATAGCTGGATCACCTTTTCTAAAATACTCTGAGGAAGAACCTCATGTGTGTGCGTACGTGCGTACACATGCTGGTGCGCGTGTGTGTATGAGAGTGTAGGACTTTCCTAATAGAGAAACTACAATAGTGTTATATACATAAAGATGTCCACGAAAATAACAATGATTGCCATCACGTACAGCCAGGTGTAGTAATATCAACTATCACCACGAATAATTAGCTCAGGCTATGACGTTGGCTAGTATAAGTAATGCGAGATATGTCAGCTATATAAGTCTGAGGACACAGGTGCCAAACACAATAGCCAAGCTCTACCTGCTTCTGAAAGTTTGTTACAGGTGCCAAACACAATAGCCAACTCTACCTGCTTCTGAAAGTTCGTTAGTTGCTTGATCTTGACGACAAGGGTCTTTTTGATTCCATCGTGCGTGATGCAGGCAACGTGGCTTCCTGGCTGATCAATGTTGATGGCAGGGCTCCACTCTCCTCCCATGCCCTCCACACTCAACTTCAGCTCCTGTGGACCGAGTGCAAAACTAGCAACATTACGAATGAAGATTGAACGAATGCTAATGACTAAAACAATTAAAAAAAAAAAAACAAGACCGACGCCTATCTTCTACTTCCTACCACTATGACTATCACAACTACTACTACTACCACCACTACAATAACCACACATGGCCACAGTGTAACAAGATTTTGTTATGCATTTTACTGTACATGTATATGTGTACGTATCTACATATCTACATGTGTAAGCAAGCCTGCGTGCACGCATGTAAAATGTATGTATCTATGAAAGTACATGATTACATGCAGACACACGAACAATTGAAATACAAGTAGCGGTAAGCAGCTGGTGCTACCTGTTTGTGCTTATGCGTTCTCCAGCTATAGGCATACATCTCACCGCTCAGTACTATCAGGCTTTCTCCCGTGCCGATCTGTAAAACAGGCACCAGATATTTCACTGCTGAACTTGCTACAGATTATGTGCGTTGCACATAACCAACACAAACTGAAGATAATCTATTCAGAGACATGTAACCAGCAATACACATGGACAGTTGTCAATGCATGGAAATAAAACAGGAGGACGTTCTGACATTAATAAGTCTGGAATTGCACCTGGCCAATTAGCAGAGCCTCATCCGTGTCATTGCAGATGACATAGCTGCCCATTATGACCTGATCCCCATCAAGGTTGTGCATCTGCAACCCGAATAAAGGTGATATGATGAATGACTTACGCCATCTGCCCGTTCACTAGCTCAGTTTCATATTCTCAATACGGAACAGCGCCCATAGAATATCTAGGTTCAAAAGCTAAGCCAAGTGAAAGAATTTTGGCTATTAATTTTGGCTACTCCAACTCATGGTACGTCGTGCAAAACAGAAATGAATTAAATTAGAATCAAAGAATAAATTTTTTAAATTATTTCTTTGAGTTTTAACTTCTTTTTTTTCAATAATAAATACCATTAACGAGAACTTTTAATGAATTTTGTAAGTTGCTTGGACTTCCAAGTGTATCGGACACATAAAGTACAGACATAAATTGAAATATAAAACTTTAAATTAAAATTAAATTTGTCACACCATATGCTGCAGTGGTGCCATGGTGTGTGTGCGCGTGTGTGTGCACACGTAGACGTACGCGAGGCACTTACCTGCCTCCAGGCTAGCAGAGCAGAGTGAAGCGTGTGCACACCACTCTGCCCGAGCCTCAAGACTAGTGGCTCCATCTCCAGGGAGCAGTTGAAATGTCCATGGTCATCCTCGAGCTGCAGCTGGAAGAGGCATGTCTCCAGCAGCGGCATCATGGTCAGGTTCCTATACTCGACGACATCACAGCTGATGCTGGCTGCACACTGAGACAAGATAGGTACGTGTTACTAAGGTGCTGCGCATCTTCTATTTGATGGCAACCATTTTTAAATACAAGATGGCGCCCAGATACCATGCCGATGGAGATGGGTACCCGATCGCATACGAATGTACATATCTTAAACTACCTTCGTGCCAATTTTCATGCTTTTGTCAAAAAGTGCACAATTATATCCCTAGCTCCTCTACTATTCATGATACATTTATGCGAGACACGCGTCATGTAGCCACTACATCGAAACAGCCGGAGATGAGACACTGAGGCGAGACACATTTACGAGACAGCATTGTGAAACACTAAGGCAAAACAGGTGTCAACCAAACATTGAGGCCAGACACATGGCAAGGACAGACTGAGACGAGACACCGCTGAAGCTAATGATATTGCCCCAGGACTAACAGAAACTATTTCTTGTTTTTCCATCTATTATTTCTCTTTTTGGTTATTCACATTACCGCATAAACTTTAAGTGTGTGTGAAAAGCTAGACCAAAAAAATTACTCCACATCCACTGCATATATCGTATATTGTTAGAAAATCTTAATTCATATGTATATACAAATTGATTAATGATATCAGGAGTGATATAATAGAGGTTATTAATCTAATAATGCTGCACATTATGCAGATGCTGACATGACATGAAAAATTGATATTGCTGTAATTACTTCCAGTTGGCCACGATCTCGCCACCGCTTGTAATATGATGTCGGAGATTCCATCGAGACAACCAAAATCTCCTGCTCTGTTGATTCATGTTCATCAAGGCTAAACGAGCGCAACTTGTCAGGAAGGCCTACAGACAGCAAAATGCGTAAAAAGGGTATCTTCCTTGCGTATTAATTTCATAACGTTTTCATGCCAGCACACAACATTGAGCGCATACCCTAACAGTAAAAATGATCAGCACTAAAACTGATATACTGTAATCACAGCAGCCATTTTCCACGAGTAAGCTTTCATGACTACAACTTTTGGTAAAGTTGGCAGATTTTAACACCCAATAGTAACTGCATGCTGCAGAGATCTGTAGCAGTACAGCAGTAGACGAGATAACTTTGACAGCATGCTGCTTGAATGAGGTTTCTAGTGCCAATGCATTAGACAGCACGACTTTGGTAATATACCAATTTAATGACATGTACAGTTTACATAATATCAGGGGTTAATAATTATTATCGCATGATGATATGTAGTGCTAAGATGACAGAGCACTCATGACTGCAGTAATAACTACACGGTGTACCCACTTTTTCCAAGGTGCTGTGGATGCTGACACAGGCGGAACTGCAGCAGGCTGACGCTGACACATGCCAGCACGGTTGCCATCAGTGCCGGGTTGAAGCAGGAGTCGATGTGCATGCAAGCAGCTAGCACAGTTGGGGAAAATGGTGGCGCAACCTCCATGGCAGGCCTGCAACAAAATAACAGTGAATACTGATGCCTTTCATCTTTCTCATATACTGCTGTTCTCTTCTCATAGCTAGTCACTGTCACACACAGGCACACACGCACACACGCACACACGCACACACACACACACACACACACACACACACATATACACACACACACACACACACACACACACACCACACACACACACACACACACACACACACACACACACACACACACCACACACACACACACACACACACACACACCACACACACACACACACGCCCCAACACACACGCACACACACTACACACAGCCACACGCATACACGCACACACACAGACACACATGCACACACACACACATACGCATACACGCATACACGTGTGTGCATATATATATATACGCACCCATACAGCTGCTGCTGCTGTTGCTGGTGGCCGATGATAAGCACTCTCCACACATTCGAGGCAGGCATTTCGAGTGAATCTTTTGGCAGGTTCAGACTATAAGAGGCACTCTCAGACAGCGTGAAGTCCTTGGCATCCAGAAATATGCGACGCAGTGGGTCCCAATATTGCAAGACACATGGGACCTGTAATAAGGCAAACGCTCCAGCTATAAGGCAACACCGCAACACACATACAGCAATAGTATTTTGTAACAAGCTTATGACAGTCAAGTAATGCTGCCTGAATTGCGTGCCTATTTATTTAACTAATGAGGTATTCATTATTTATTTATTAATAGCTAATTATTTATGATTATTTATTAATTAAATTAAATTTAGCTGCTTTGTGTAATTGTAATAGTCAAATGCATAAAACAGCAATGCATCTGTCTAAGGTCTACGGTCTATCTATCTACGGTATGTCAGGTCTGGACAGTGACATACCATTGGATGTTGTTCAGATACAACATCGCTTTTCAGTGTACTTCTGATGGGCACGGGATCAATGGTGACCTTGGTGAGCGACCTTGGCTCAGGATACCGCCAGGTCATCGTACTTTTATCAGGGCAAAACACTATTTCCCACGTTGCTGGCTCCTTCCCTAAACAGTCTGGAAGCACCCACAGCCAGTATTAAGTATGAGGTGTTAGAGAACATAGCACAGCATTATTATTTGTAATTGATTATGAATTTAATATATCTGTAATATGCAAGACTTAGATGATACTAGACGCTTCCATCTCAGAAACATGATTTGCCAGCTCCATGACAGTGGAACATACCTGTGTCATACACATACTCAAAGCTGCCAGTCCTTAGATCATCTAATCCCTGTACACATCCCTGACACTGCTTTTTACTTTTTGGCATCTTATCATTGCTGGCAGCAGGACCCACACTGGAGTATTCCTGAAAGTTAAGTTGAAGTCAAGATGTGTGGGACAATTGATACGTGCAAGCCATAATAATTATTCATCAAGCCAACTAGGTACCGTCAACACACCAGGAGTCTAACACAATGAACAGATTATCAGATGCTCTATTTATCATGTTATCCTGATCACATAGATGAAAAAGTTACTAGCGGATTACCTTTAGGAATTGATGCACATGAGTCAGTAGAAGTTCAATGCAAAGTACATTTTCCTGACCCATGGTCAGAGGTACCATCTCAGTCTCTATGAATAGAGTGACTAGTGGGATGGAGTGAGCTCCCCCTGCATCTCCCACCCACAGCACACCAATGCTGGCATCCAGTGTTACAGGACCCACAAATTGGCGGCAACAGTCGAAATATGCCGTCTTTAACATCAGACCATCCACATGCCCAGAGATCAGAATTTCATCGGGAGTGCCTAGACAAATGCGAACAGCATCTAAATAAAATGTTGGCAAAACGTGTGCAAAACAGCTTATATCCACTCTCTTTGCAATGCAATTATGTTACAGATTTTAATAAAACGTTAATTTTAAACATTGTTCACTTGTATCATGTTATTCAAATTTACCATGCAATGCCTGCATATTTTTAATGCAACAGTATTTCACACTCACTAATGAACTGAATGAACCTAACCTTGATGACAGAGACTGAGATTCAACTTAGCATCACTCCCGAGCACAGACACAATTAGCTGGGGACGCGAAGCGCACCACGGCATTGTCTCCATGACGACAGAAATCTCATTGGTGTTGAGGTGAACACTAGTCACATATTTTAGAAGAGTGGGAACTTGAATGTTGGTTTTCGCAGGTTTGATGTGATGGTCACCTATGCAGTTATGATTGCGATAAGTAATATAATGCATATTATGACATACAATAAATGCATTCGTATTTTTATTATACCAAATTCAGTTAGAGTAAAATCTATACATTATTTATTATGCATTATACTGGGATATAGTCTATAATGGTACAACCATCATTATAACATAATGTTTATGAAGTAAAACGCATGTTAACGGTGTTTCTCTTAACTGCATGGCATTCAGAGACTGCCAACTACTTATGTGCATGAATATTCGCAACAGTACAATCTCTCTTGATAATATCTACTCAAATTAAATGCACCACCACATTCCTACTCTATGTGAAACGTTATGACATAATAATAATCAAACTATTAATATAAAACAGATTTTATAAAGGCTATATCCAATAGAATTTATATACTGATTAAACCAATGGTATCAAGCACAATGTCTAAAGAATTAACGTTTTTTACTCTAAAGCAGCCCAAGCATCTGAGCCTGTGATATTATACCTGTGTCAGCTGATAGCTTTAAAAAGTTGTCTAGAGTCTGGTAGTATTCGATCACTTCTTTTAGCTTCGCAAGGCTCAAGTTGATTGTCAGAGGGCACTCCAATCTTATTCTCACACTCGCTAGATAACAGCAAATATGGACTCTTGAGAATTAAAATCATGCAGCATGCCATACAGCATCGATTAGTGGCACTGCCATACCAGCATGAATGATGACAGTCATACTAAATTACAAGTGCAGATTGTTTACCTAGACCACTCAGGAAGTCGACAGCAGTGATAGTATACAAGTTAGGCAAGCAACCCGTCTTGGGATCTGCTCTGCCAGGCTTCGTATCCAACCAATGTAGAGGATAGTCATGCATGCAGGGCACCAGCTTCTCTCCAACATCTACAAAATACATGCACACACACTGCATTGCCATCATCATACCATAACACAGGCACAATATTTGTCTTACAACTGATGTTTCAAAACGTTTTGTTTTGTTTTATTGTTATGTGGTAATTGCAGTGTATTTGACATATAAAATGGCAGAGGCATGGGGATACATTTGATTCTATTGATTATACTTACTTTTGATAATATCACAACTAAACATTTCATATTTGAAAGATGAAACTATTCTCATCTTTACCTTTTAATTATCGCTGTTCTTCAAACTTAGTGGCAGTCAATCACTGTACATTTACTTAGAGCACCCAGCTGGGCTCTATGATTCTATAGTAGAGGTTTCAATGACATAGACTAGTAAACTGCATGAGCAAGGTATGTACAACCGAATATGAAACCACGTCAATTGCTTATTACTTTTACATTTTGCCGATCGCGTAAACTATGTGTACACACTAGCGAGATTAATAACTATGCACTCAATTCAAACCTGTATAGGTCAGACATATCGCTCACCATATATATCAACTGGGCTCTGACCACCTCTCACCACCACATTGTAGCAAGAAGCCTCAATCTTCTGTTTGTTGGGTTTGCACAGGACATAGGTGTGGGGCTGGGAAAACAGCACGTACAGGAACGGGTGCACTTTGCACGCCGGTGCCCGACCACACCGGCTAGCTTCCTCCATTTCGTCAGACGAGCTGTGCAGCAATGAGCCATGGGGCTGTTGCTGCGCCGCGCTACGGCACTCCTCCCACATCACATCGTCTACGTCTGCCGAGGGTGCATCTGTCGTCACGACGCCCGTCGCCAATGGCAACCCCTCGGCGACTAACTCACTGGCATGCTCGAACAAGTCCTCGCCGATCAGCGAGGCAGTTGATATCGATCCGTGCGCGTATGTGCCAGCTGGCGCGCTCTGCGTCCAGCCCCCCGCCGGCACGGCTACGCTGCCCGGCGCCTCTGCAGCGATTAGGATCGGCAGATCTACGCGAACAGGGTCGGTGGTCCCCGTGGGTCTCCTGCGCCGCTCTGTAGCCGTGCCCCGAGCGTGTTCCTCAACAGAACCGGCTTGGCGCTCCGGTTCGCTCTCCGCTACGGAGTACGCCGCCACTGATATGCGACCGGCTGTCAACAGTAGGTCGAACGAGACGAACGCCTCGCTGCCAGTAGGTGGCGCTTCTTCCTCAGCCATCGTTTCCGGTAGCGTGCGGACCGATTCGCGGTCGCTGAGCAACGGCTCGTGGCTAAGCGTCTCCCGGCCACTGTCCTGCCGACTCGACACCAAGCTCTCAACTCCGCTGTCGTTTACGTTGGCGAACGCTCTACCATCGACACCTGCTCCACTAGGGGCTGTATTGGGCTCAGCCAAGCCGCTGAAGCTCTGCTTGCAAAGCCTAGCTACCTCCTCAAGATTCTCAGTGACAAAGCCATGCACGAACTCAACCTGGTGGCTGTTTATGTAAAAGTCCAGATCACTGGTTATGTTAACTTCCACAGAATGACCGCATACAAGGACGGGCTGTAACAAAACCAAAGATGCATGTTCTAGTGACAGCAATCAGTAGATAGTAACTTCTACTAATGTAACTCATGTAGCTGATAGATCAGTGCATAATTGTACATTTTTAACTTTGTAGGTAGCTAAGAGTTTTGGGAGGATGGAAAGTTATGTTGTTGAAAAAGACAAAAAACACAAATCTTGTGCATAAATGTGTACATACCTCTGAAGATAAGCTCTTATCAGATGAATAGTTACTGTACACTATGGAAGGTGCCGCCACCAATCGTAGATCAAACTTTGAGACCAAGGGAAGATGCCTGATCACTTTTTTTACCGATTCACTGAAACATGTAAATTAGTATGTATTAGTAGCTTGTATAGTACATCAGTTATTCTAGTAAAATATAATACCTATACAATAATCCCAAATGTTAGCAATAACAGATTACTACTTGTCAATTTAAAGATGGTGTTTCCATATCAAACAACCTTCGATCTCTATGCTTTGTGATTATAATAAACACAAAAAGTAAATATTTCACTTCTCACTGCCTGAATCACATGAGTGAAAGTACAATTTTTAGGTACACTGTTTTTAAGCTTGCAATTCATCAGAACATAATGAAATACAAAAGTAACTTCAAGGTATGAAAGCTTTTTTGTGTATTTTATTTCATGCTTCTTCTCCTTCTTCGAGTCCGGATCTGGAATTTATTAAATCAAGTATAGTGCCACTGTTCCACACAGCCGACTGCCTCCAGGCCCCCCCTTGGAAATCATTTCATGCTAAGAAGTAAGAACAGAACATTGATGTGGCTAGAGAGGAGCATTAGGAGATTAAAAGTCAGTAAGGAGACATCAGGTTCGAGAAACAGACGTACTTGAGCGCAAATCCCTGATTCCACTCCAGAGCTGGGTTCTGCCCTCTGCTATCATTTGCATGTTCATCCTGCAGTACTACACTCTCCCAGAGGCCTGTCACAGAGATCACGTTCCATTAGGGTTATTAGTATGAATGAACACACACTACCAAGATACATGCATCAACAATGCTGAACACTGCTAGCTCGTACACGAATGTGTGTATAAAGCATGCTTAGATTAAAAAACTTATAAAACTAAATAGCTGTAATAATTTCTTTTTTATACTCGGGGATTGTGGATTGTACCTGTAAAACCATGTTTTATAACATTTAGGTAGTGATTACAAAACATGCACACGTAAATTTCAATTACAACAATGGGGCACACATTACACACATAACGTTAGGTATAGTAACATACAGATTAAATGTAAAAATTCGGATAAATATTGTAAGAAACACAATATATACATATGTAAGAATTAGTATATGATAACAAGGTACGTATCATATGCAGACACACGACTGGTATAGTTAGATGTGCATTACGCAATAGATATAGTAAGGAACACATTACACGGGGGTGCATACATGTTTGGCAGAGTGACACATATGTGTGACAGTGCTACAACTGTGGATCTTGGGATATTGTGGATACTGGGGATGTGCTACAGTAACCGATACCTGTGCTGATGCCGAGCCCACAGATATCCAGCTGATACTGCCTGTCTTCTATATCCGAGCCTGGAATATGTGTAATGCGCGCTCGCTCTGCCTTCTGGAACAAGTCCTTCCGAACCAGCAGCCGCTGCAGAGGGTTGTCAGCCTGCGGTGACAGCGACACCGTGTCTATCTCCATCACGCACATGTCGCTGCAGGTGCTGAGCGACAGCAGCTGCTCCCTGCAGGGCGCATCGCTCGTCACACGTCCACGAGGATCTCTCCCGGCGACCCTGGGCGCGTGCAAGGAGGGCAGGAACACGCGCAAGGTGTTCGCCTTGAGGTACAGCAGCGGCAGACGGCCGCTGGTCACGTGCCAGCCAGCTTCGTCGCTCCCCGACCCGCCGCGACCTTGGCCGCGACCTTGGCCGCCGCGTTCCCGCGCGCACGCCGAAGATCGACGGGACACGCCGCCACTTTCGGTCGTGTCCACCTGGCTCGCGGACTGCTTCGCCTGGGTGGTTCTGCGTGCCGGGGATGGGGGCGGCACGCGTCGGGGGCGGCGCGTAGCGCAAGCAAGCGGCACGGGCCACGGCGCGGGCGCCACACGATGTCGGAGCGGTGGGCGCTCGCGCGGGGACGACCGGGGCCGGCGCGCCGAGGGGATCGGACGACGGGGGTCGGGAAGCGGGCGCAGCGTGACGTCGAGCTCGCCAGACGTGCGGCCGACGCAGCGTGCCCGCCCGAGCGGTCGTCGGCGGTGACAGCGCTCGCGCGGCGGGGGGCGGGCGGGAGGGAGGCGGTGGCGGTGGTGGCGGCGCCGCGCCCAAGCGGCGCTGCACGCTCTTACTCTGCGCGCGCTGAACGTCAGCGAAGGAAAGCCGCATGACTTGCCTCGGACCCGTGCGGCGAGGGCGAACAGCGGGGAATACGGCCCGACACCTGTGAGGCCAAACCATCATGTAAGTATGTGTCTGTTCAATAACAATAGATGATGGAAACATGTAGTAAATAATTCCTGTTCAATAACAATAGATGACGGAAACATGTAGTAATTAATCTGCTTAATAATGATAGATGATGATACCATTATAACTAATCTGCTCCTTATCCACACAGAGATGATATAACATGTTAAATTAAGTCTGCCTCTTATAACGAGAGATGCATGCATAACATGCTAGTAATCTAATCTGCTCAGTATAACGAAGAGATGATGCATAACATGTAGTAATTAATCTGCCTCGTATAACGAGAATTGATGATAACATGTGTCAATTAAATCTGCTCATAACGGAAGATGATGATAACATGCTAGTAATAAATCTGCACTCTATAAACGAGAGATGATGATAAACAATGTAGTAATTAATTCTGACCTCTATAACGAGAGATTGATGATAACATGTAGTAATAATCTGCTCTATAACGAGAGATGATGATAACATGTAGTAATTAATCTATAACGAGAGATGATGATAACATGTAGTAATTAATCTGCTCTATAACGAGAGATGATGATAACATGTAGTAATTATCTCTCTTATAACGAGAGATGATGCATAACATGTAGTATATTAATCTGCCTCTATAACGAAAGATTGATGATTAACATGTAGTAATTAATCTGCTCTATAACGAGAGATGATGATAACATGTAGTAATTAATCTGCTCTATAACGAGAGATGATGATAACATGTAGTAATTAATCTGCTCTATAACGAGAGATGATGATAACATGTAGTAAATGTAATTTGATCAATAATAACGATAAATGTTTTGTAATAGTTACACGGTGACATCTGATAAAGAATACCTGTCATTACACATGCACTACCACGTACCTGCAGGCATCCTGTACGAGTAGTAAGAATCTGTGTATTATGAGCCAATTTTTCTGTGCATGTCAGAATCACACCTTCGTAAGCTCCAGGTGACCAGCTAGTCTCTCCTCTCCTGTAACCATATACAACTGTCAAACTCAATAGAGCTGACCACATGGTTTAGCCACCTTACATAAAATGCACTCAATCACAATCAAATACACTTTGTGAATGTGATGCACCCTCTTTTACTATATTGTGTATTATATGCTCAACCATTATTCAGTGCACTTCACGTATAGCAATAACCTCTTTTGGTAATGGCTGACATCCATTGTGGCAATCCTTAGCTTGGCTTTCTGATAAATCTCTTGCAGATCTATCGAGGACGTGACGTCTTCAAGCGTTCCAGAAACACAGAACTCTAAAAGTAAAAAAAAATCCTCTGTATATACATCGCTAATTCCTCGTAGAACAATTTTATCTAAGATGTTAAGTAGTACAATAATGAACTTCATATAATTTTTTTATTTTATCCGCTTTTACTATCTTTGAAGTCGCATGCTCTATTTCGGTTTTATTTGTTCTCTATTCCTATGAAACAGACCAGTATTACCGACTCTTAACCTGCCTAACTATCAATTCCATATAGAACCGTAACATATCAAATCAACCTTACTATACATAGCAATAAACTAACCTGATATTCGTTAAATAACAGAATCTGAGGTATTCTTCATAAATTATACAGAAAGTACAATATCTCAATCATCATTATTTTATAAATGCATACATGTATAGTTAATATATGTACTTTTTGTGTTATTGTTTTATAATATGTTATATACATATTATAATATGTATGTATATTTTTACTGTTAGTTTTATGTTTTATTTTTATTTTTATGTTACTATTACTACTAGTAGTACTACTACTACTATAGTACTAGTGATATTATTATCATCATAATTAAAAGATCACTGGAATTTATAGATAATCAGTAGGAGTCTCACCAGTGTCGTCATGGAGATTGCCATAGAGGTTAGCAGCAATCTTTGCGACAGTCCACTGCATCCACAATGAAATGGCGAGCCGCCTCGGCACCGGTGTGTCTATCACAGGAGGATGCTGGCCCGCTACACGACTGCAACAATGCCTCACCCTATAGTCAAGCGTGTCTCGTTTCAACGTTCTTGATGCTGAAGGCAATGGCATTTAAGGAACATTTAGCATTTTTTTAACATGTGGAGTGAGAAAATGATGTAAAATTCATTTACCCTGTATGACTATCGGTGTTAGTTTTACTCGCGGTTGTTTGGCTTGGTGACGACACTGCTGCAGGTACAGGTAATGTCGTGTTAGCCTGCACATTTGCTCTCGGCATAGTAGATACTTTCACGGCTTCAGAGATATGGCTCAACCCGGACACAATCTGTGTGGACAGCCTGTGTACTAGCATGACCTAAACGAAAATATTTCATACTGTTATGAATTACAAAGTTCATTGAACATTTAGCCAGTAGTGTGACACATTTATTAACAAGTTATATATAATGTGCTTTAATAGAGTGGTTTCTCAATAACAACTGGATTATATATATATATATATATATATATATATATATAGCTTTGTTGAAATGATTATTGATCGAACATTACCTAAGTTAGCATTCGTGCATATATACCTGTGGCTCTGAGCAGCTGAGCACACAATGATCCACATCTGTGTGAATGACCAGACCCATAGACTTTAGCTCCGACTCATTGCTCTTCTTCTCACTCATATGCTTTGCTGCCACGGCAATAGTTGATGACAGACTTAGTCGCTGCAACAGCTGCAGAGGTGCCCGTCCTCGGTGTAAGGAATAAGCACTGGCATTGCATATGCTTGCCTTCCATGGTAGATGTAAGCTGGCACCTGCAAGCAAACGACGGTAAACCTGCAGTAGCTCTCAACACATAATTTACACTAATAACTTGACCTTTATCTACTCCAGTCACGAAATCAAACCTACAGTCATAAGTAATCCAGGAGTCAGTACACCAACGAATATATTTAGCAGCACAATTGATCAAGCCTGCACCATTGGCAATAACTATAGTCAATGCAATTTAATTGATTGATTTATTGCTAAAATTGTATTTACCACGTGAGCTAGGTATGAAAACAGGTAATTCCTCTGTGCTGATTGGATCTCCACTGCTGTGTACAGAGACCTCAGGACAAACTAACACCAGTGACTCAGGTAGAGTCTCACTCTGGTACATTTGTCTAAGGTGCACCCTAATACTGCCAGCAGTGTCAGACTGGGGTGACAGGGGTGTGGGTGATGCTGGCAGGGATGTAGTGGGCAGAAGAATGGTCACAGACCTCACATCAATCTGAATATAGCAGAGTCACGCAATAACATTTATTAACAAATAAGTTGTTACTATTACTTATTTTTTGTTATATATCTTTATAAATTGTTTACTACTAGTAGTTATGAAAAAAAGTAACATGGTATTACATAA